AATATATTTAGTGTATATTATATGTAATAAATATTTATGGCGTATAAACGGCACAACTTGCACTATATTGATAATGTTATGTTATACGAGAATATTTACGACAAAATAATAATTTTGGTAACTTTAAAATCACGGGTTCCGTCGTACAGACAAACACATACTAACGAGTAATGAATAATGGCAAACGAATGAAGTGTAATCGACGTGTTTTTGTAGATAACGTGAGCACAATTGCAATATCGGTAGGTAATATTAATAAATTCGATAAATTACATGCGTTGCGCGACCTTTAAATATTAACCGAATGAGATAAATTTTTCACAAAGTTAATTTTGTACTAAAAGGAACATTTAAGACGGGTGGGATAAAAGATATATTTAAGTTTAATTTTTTCTGTGGAAAATATTGTCACCCTAATATATATATATATATATATATATATATATATATTTGTGTTATTCGAAATACAATGTAAATTTTTAATCATAATGCAATATATATATATAAGGGTGGTCTTTAGCTATAAAAGTCAATTTTTTTCTTTTGAAAATTTGATGCCAAGTACCCCAAATTTTGTTCTATAAAGTAACAAAGTAAATATATAATTATGGTAAATTTTTAGTATGATATGTTAACCCTTTCCCGTGCTTCAACGTGATTAAAATATTAAGGATAAGTGTATACATTCGTTTTTTTTTGGGTTTATTTTCATATATTTCAAAGTTAGGCAAAAATATTACTTTAACATCATTTTAGTACATGCTATTTTCTATAATAAATTATTTAAGATATTTTTTATAGAATTATATTTTTTTATCGAATTAAGAAAATATTGAATTTATATATATATATATTCGTACTGTATACTGTTTTCCATAACAATTAAGATATCTTTATGGTTGTCTTTAAGTAACTACAGTTACTATACACGTCATTTTTATTCGGTTATAATATTAAATCATTATTTTCTGTATTTATATCGGTCAGCTTATAATCAAATCACTAGTTTTAGTGCAACTTTTTAGACTAAGTGTACAACAAAATTCTTTCATTTTTATTATTTTTACATAATGATTAATTACCTCATGAGAATATTTATTTTTTGGTTAATATGAGGTATTAAATTATTGGTAAATAAAATACTTTCAAATGAAATTCGAATTCGTGCATTATTTTATAATTTGATAACATGCGTGTTGTAGATTTTAATTTACATGATAGTTTGGGTCTACTAACGAATGATCATTATTTTGACAAAATACAAACATATGGCAAACTTACTTAACCTACTCAATATCATTGTGATATAGTTCGAAAAATTAAAAAGTTTTAATATTGATGACAAAGTTTAGATAAAAAAAAAAAATAATAATAACTGCAATAAATTAGAAAAAAGAAAATCATTTTATGAATTCTTCAAACGATTTGTTTAATATTACTCATAAAAATGCCTTAAGTATTATTAAAATTAAAGAAGGTATGCAATTTTATTATAACAAAGAAAGAATGGCCGTTTACGATTAATGGAAGGTTAACGGAAAAAAAGTCCTAGGAAAAATAGTTTCTGGTACAAAGGTCCTTAGAAAAAAAGTCAATTTTAACCTGGGTAATTTTTATGACAGGGATAGACAAAAAATTATAAGCAATCGGAGAACGAAGATCTGAATGTAAACAAAGGAAAGAAATATTTAAGCATAAATCCATATTAAAACCTAGTAAAGTAACTACTTTAATAATTAAAATCAATATTAAGCTTGATATTTATTTTAGAAATCAAGTTTTTAATTCATTACCATTATATTTGTAGGCCTATCTAATAATATCGACTTCAATGATAATGATGATGATCGTGATGCCTTAAATAAATAATATGATGATTGTGAATTATCTGACAGTACTAAAGTGAAGAATAACTGAGCCCGGAAAGAAGCCATGACTAATTGTTTAGCTTCAGCCCCTGACAAATGCAAAACCAGTGGTGAATTGTTTTTCGCTGTTTAATGATCGAATTGATAATTATATGAAAAAAAGCACTACTAAAAAGCTATAAAAAAATTAGGAATCTTTGATCTCTTTAATTGTTTGTTGTGAGTTGTATGTTCCTTCGTAAAGTTCTAAAGTATATTCTCGCCATCTTGTTGAAATTTAACTAATTTCTGTTATGTCCTTTCCATACTTTTCCTGTATGGTTTTTGCATTTCTATGTGTCTTATTTTTTGTTAATTTTCTAATATGTGCATGGGTTTTAACATGTTTTCATCATTTTTGTAACATTTTTATCTCCGAACACCGATTATCTCACCAATTGTCACGTGCCTTTCTACATTCTCTACCCAGTTAATTTTTTGTCCATGGCTTTCCCAATTTCTGTTTAATATTCTTTCATATTATTTTTTCCTTCCTTTTGGACAGTATTTTATATGTGACCTGTGACCCAGGATTTTTGTTTTCCGCGTTCTTTTAATCCTATAATACTATTTTATATATCATACTATTATATATCAGCTATCATAGCTGCTCCTTTCAGTGTTGTAATAATATTTTACCATTATTATTCTATTGATAGTTCTTCTACTTCATCTTATAACTCTTCTTCAATATATTTTTGGAAATCCATCTTTTTTCCTTCATGTTCTCTAAATTCCATTTTGGTATTCTCTTAGGTTGACTTAATTTTTTCCATTTTAATTTACATGTCATCATCCCATAATGTTATCATCTTTGCCTTCTCCAACAATAGCGTTCCAATTTCTCATTATTACGACATATTCTTCTGCCTTTGTTGCCTATAGTTTTTCTTCCATTATCTCATATGTTTCCTCTATTTCTGCACCGCTATGTTTTTTTTAGTTGGCATGTATACCTAAATTATCACTAGGTCGGTGGTTTTGTCTGCGAACCTGATCATAATTACTTTTATGCTATATATTTTTGCGAGAGTGAGGGGTTTTAAGCCTGTTTGTCCATTATTATGGCCACTTTTTCTGGTCATTTTTGTTTCCAGAGTGTACAGAGTGTACTACTTGTGTGAATACGTTGTCATTTCTTACCTTTCTCTTCTTTTCATCTTGTTTTTATTATTCCTAATATACTAATTTCGAGTTAATACATTTCTAATTTTAAATTTTCCAGTTTTATTCATTGTTCTCGCATTCCATTTTGCGATTATAACAGGTTATAAATAATAATTGATAATATTGTACAAATATTAAAGATTAAATAGAAAAGGTCATAAAGGTAATCATTATTGAAAAAATGGAAACATAATACACGTATATAATGGACGTAACACATTTCCACCAAATATATACTAATATCTAAATAATCAAATAATTTATGAACAAGTGAAAAAATGGCACAGTTTAAATAGTGCATTGAAACTGCGTGTGTGTTAAAATAAAACATACATTTTAAAATTTATAATTCTATGATGGCGAAAATTATCGAAAGTACACGTGAAAACAAAACACTAGTACTAAACAACTTTAAATTGTTTAATGGATCAGTTAACAAATATCAACTAATTTTATATATAGTTACAATTTACATAATTAAGGTATTGTATATCATAATATATCATTTTTTTCACCTTTTTATATCTAACCATTTTTTTTAATAAAATTTAACATTTTCAAACCGATGTTATATATATTACATTTATTGAATTAATAGTATATGTTAATTAAAATTATTACTGTGATATAGCTTTAAATTTAAGCGTAGTATACTATTGTTTTGGTAAAAAAGTGGTCAATATCTCATTTGGTGGAAATGGACATTTGTGGAAAAGGGAAAGATACACTTTTGGTGGAAACGGGCATCGCCCTATATAATATATAAAGTATTTAATGCTCGTTTGTAAACTCATAATTTTAAATTAAAATTTTTTATTATACCTACATACTATTTTAATAATTTATATAAATTAAATTTACAGCGATAACCATAGTGACATTACAAATAATTCAAACGAGTCTGTTGTGTGCGATCAAAAGTTATATTCCTTATTTTTTTTTCGTATTACGAGTAACGGGTACTTCTAATATTATTATGTATTTATATCCTGAAATTTATTATAAAATTTAGTGGATATTGCCAAAGTAAATTAAAACGTTTTATAACCGTCGAAGTAAATTTGTAAGTAAATAATACATTAAAATTTAGCTATTTTATTGGATTTCATGGTTGATTTAAGCATAAAAATATCCATAGAAATTAATACAAAAACATAAATTTGTTTAAATAATAATACCTATACTATTTTATGATATTTTTCACAGAAGGTATGATTATTAACTTAATGTAAAAAAAGTAACTTATTTTTAACTAATATAAGTTACTTTTTTTTTTACTTATTTACCTGTAATATTTACAAGTAAATTAAAAAATTAACTTTTCATTTTTAACTTATATTTTTTAATTATTATTATTATTATTATTATTATTATTATTATTATAATTATTTAATACAATTTAACAAGTTAATAAAATTAGTTAACTTGCCCCACCTTGATTATTAATAAACAAATATCTTGTGATTGTCATTAATAGACTACAGTTTACATCAAGTTTAAATGTAAATATATGAATGTTTTATTCAATTATTATTTTACGTAAATTAGTTTGTTTAATTTAGTATCCAATATCGAATAAAATGTAAATATTTCCCAGCACTTACCATATATTATTATATTAACTATGTTTTTTAGCTATTAGGTATAGATTGTATATTATAAAAAAAAAAGAAAGTAAAATGTATCTACTAAAATAAACAGTATGTTTTCTGAACATTTTAGATTTCTGAATCCAAAATAGCAGTTGTATTTTATTAACACATGTAATAATACCCACATTCAATTTTTTAATCAATATATGTGGAGTTACGTGCGCATTCATTTTTCGGAAATATGTATTCTAAATAATACATATGTATTGTAATTTACATTCTTAAATTACACTGTATTGGTAATATTGATTTTGGAAAATTATTCAACACTAACTTTGGCACAAAGTGCTGGAAGAGCAGAAACCCATGGTTCTATCTTCATATCGTCGGCTCCGAACTGACCAAAAAATGTGACTACAGCATAAGGTGTCCACGACATCATAAACAAGCCAATTAGAACTAAAATAATATAAGAAGTTCTCAGTGCGGATCGAATAGGAACCGCTTGACCTTGTTTGGGTACGTTTAAAGACAATCTACATTTCAAACTTTCTGTAAAATAAATAAAAAACAAAAAACTATTATTATACAATGAATCATTTGAATATTTTTTTTTTACGCAAAATTTACAATATAAAATTTTAAACATTAGACATTTATAGGCAAAATAATTATTTTGAAAGAATTTTAAACCTATCTGTGGAATGTCAAGCGTAAGATTTTCTTGTATATAACGACAAAACATTTTAAATTATTTTAGATTCAGAGTGAAACGAGGAATATACTCGTATTGGTTTTATCGTAATGTGAATTTTTAATTTTAATTTTTTTTTGTTTGTGTTCAAGATTTTGACTAGAAAAATTGTTCCGAGTATTATATTAAAATTAAATCGTAAGAAATTATTTCTACTTATTATTTTTTTTGGAGGTGAACATTTTAAAAATTTTTAAAATTCTCAAGAGTATTTTTAATAATTGTGAAAAACAAAGAAAAACTAAAAAACACTCAAAGTTTCAACCAAGATTTGGATCCTTAGCACTAATTTTCGTCTAAATAATAATCTATTTTTTTGCTACACACTATTTTTTTATATTTGTTTATGCGATTTTAATTAAAATAATTGATATTCACGATTATACTAGATTCTGAAAAAAAAATATGTCTAGTTGGTATTTTAAGGGTAGTTATTTTATGTATTTCTCAATTTTTTTCGCTATAACGTAATAATTGGGAAAAAAAGAGACGACAAATTATATATAAAAAAAAAAAAGGTAAAATGTATAGAGAATTTTTGTTTTCATTGTATAGGTATTTAAAAAATAATAATTGTAGATACTTCAAATTTTCACTGAATGATAATTTCAACATTTATTATATATAGTATGATTTCTTAAATACATTTTTTAAGCAATTGACGGAAAATTGAAATTTTCATATTTTTATGGATTTTTTCAAAAATTTCGACAAAATAATTTTGGTTTGACCAAAAGCCTTGAAAATCTATTACAAAGTTCCTCTTACCTATATGTTTCAAGTTGAGGAATAAAAAATTGAGCTTTATATAAAAAAAAATTACAAATGTCCGAATATTACATGTTGAAAAACCGATATTAATTATATAATAATAAAATAATTTTAAATAAATAATATAATTCAAATAAATAAATACGTTTAAAGAGTAAGAAAAAAAATTAATTTTTCCATGTAATTCTTCTCACTTGAGAATAATACTTAGAATCTAAGGCAGATCTTCAACCTACAAGGCCCGTCCTGTCATAATATGCAGCCCACGATCACATTTTAAATATTTTCACATTAAAAATAAAATAAAAAATTTGTAATTAAAAAAAAAAATTTTATCTATTCATGTTTTAATAATAATAATAATTTGTAATTTTAAATGTACCCACCTAATTTTGGAAATTGTAAGAATAAAACTGAATTTTTATATAAAATACATGTTTTTACTATAAATGCGCCCGCAAGGTTTAAAAAAAATAATACGTGACCCGCTGCATAAAAAGGTTGAAGACTCTTGATCTAAGGGGTTCCCTCGGAAATGTTTTTCTTTAGAATTTAGATGATAGGTTTTTTTAATTCAAAAACTACTTTTAATGGTAGTTTTTTACTTTTTATGTGTTCATGTTTTGCCGTAATATTTTATATTTTTTTTTCGTCAAGTACTGCTGCCTGTAAGTTTTGCGATAAAATCACTTATATAACAAAATGTACACCCGTATCCAGTTCACGCGACACTATCTCGATTCTCAAAATATCAACGACGGACAAAACCGGTGAAAGGTATTTACGTCCAGACCTTATACTTTTTAAAAATGTATAATAATGTAAAAATTAAATCGAACGAAATTCAAGTCACAAGTAATAGTGAACTTTCATATCTTAAGAATAATGGTATCATAATATAAATTATATAAATTTTGTATTTTATATAGAATTTCTTTTCTTCATATTGCAGTTTTTTTGTTATTGTTTGAAAAATTGAATACCTTTGCAGTACGCTATCTGATATATTAGTAGATTATCTCTGAGGATGTTGGTATTGATTACTTATATATTGTGTTATGTATTTAGGGGCATATGTCCTTATATAAAATATATATATAAAACAAAATAAAACTAATAACTAATCAAAAATAATAATAGTAATAATAAAAACATAAAGAAAAAATTAAAGTGGTTATATCTAAATAAATGTAAAATTAAAATGAATATTACACAATATAGCAAAATATATTCAAAAAAAAAAAAAAAAAAACTGAAAAGAACAATATATTATACTCGTATATTATTAATTATTTAAATTTATCTATTTTAATTAATTTATATTTATTTATTTACTTATTTAAAATAATTTGTACCATAATTAATTTTATATTTAGAAACTAAAAATAAATCTAAATTATGTATATTTTGTTATGGAATTCGAATACTAATTTCAAATAACTCTGGATATATAAAATATTATAGTTAATATGATCAAAAACAAAAATTAAATCAGTTAATTTGCATCTTTACTCAAGATTATATTGGCTTTGTTTCCCATTCCATGCCAATATAATCTTGAGTAAGATTGAGAGGGTCTGTAGATGAAAGAATATTTTACATAAACAAAGTCCTTTTTAAAAATTTGTATTGAACATTTTCTATATCATTTATGTATAATAAAATATTTGCAATACCAAATTACGGAGCTAAAATTAAGATTAGACCTAATTGAAGAAGTGTATGCAGTTTATATGTGTTTGAAATAAAAGGAAAATATTGATTGGAAGGTTTTATGTTTTTCGAAAAAAAACCTTTAGTTCTTTCTTTATTTTGTATTTGGAATATGTACGAATACATTTTTATATTATACAGTTCTGACCGAATAAATCACAAATCGTATGCAGTAATATTATTATATAATTAAAATTATAATTTGTCGAACGAATCTAACACATCAAAATTTCCAGGAACTAAATAAAAATGTATTGTATGTATTAATTTTTTAAAGTCAACTATATTATATTCTACAGTGGTCAGTTATTGGAATGTATGAAGTTAAATTAATACATCAATAAAAAATTATAAAACAATTAATATAACAAATAACAATTATAAATAAAAATTTGACAGAAAGGTAGTGAGCATTTAAAATTTAAATATATGGAAAAAAATAATAAAATTGTGAAAATGTTATCAAAGTAATAAAAAATTATATTCATAAAAATATTCCACTGTAAACTAAATATAAGTAATAAAATAAAAATCACAAATTATTAAATGGTTAATATTCGTTAATTAATATATTAGTTTTAAATGTATTATTACATTAGTTATTAATTTATTATTATAAATCTCTGTAATTCTTGGAGCAATATTTGAACTCATTAATTAGTGAATTAAGCCTATTTTATACAAAAAGAGTGTCAAATTTTTGCCATAAACATGATATATAACTTATAAGTTGTTTCAGTGGATGTTAGTGGATGGATATATTTTTATAATATATAGTGCGTAAGAAATCATGAAATATTTAAGAATTCTATTGGTACTATAAAATAAACATTTCACTATAGTTGATAAGAACTGTCTTAAAATTTAAATCATGTCCCGAAGTATTCAAGTACATCAAATAAATGTTGAACTTATTATTTTATGTGAATAGAATACATACAGAGTGATTCATTATTATGCTCACATTATTTCAATGCTAAACATTTTTAATGCATTTTTTAAAATTCTGATTTTTGGAAATTACATTTGTACTAAAAAGCTATATTTTCTGATAGATAGATTTTTTTATACCAGGCGTATGCCTATCCTATGACAATACAAACGTTTATTTTCAAATGGGAACACTTTTTTCCGTAAATAATTATTTAATTAATTAATAGGTTAAGTTTTTTGAAATATTTGATGCAAAATAATTAAAATTTGAACCAATATTTTGAAAAACACTCAAGACTGTGACCAAAATGTCAAAATAATAGTAATGTAGTTCTTGAAATATTTTTCATAAAAATATTAAAATAAAATATAATGTTTGAAAATCCAAGGAATCCAGAATTTATTTAGAATAATTAAAAGTGTATATGCATCAATCAATAACATTTTAGTACCATTATAGGTCAAAGCTGAACAAGTATACACAAGGATTAATGAGAAATTAAATTAATTTAAAAAACGATTTTGACATCAACCGTGCAACAAAAAAAGATTAAATGATTTATTGATCTAAATAAAAAAACATGATTGGAATTATTTGCTGTTGTGATCTATGTTAAAAAGCAATTCGAAGTATTTTATATTGTTAAAGGGAAACTGGTATAAAAAATGCAAAAAAAAAAAAACAATTAATAAACAAAAAAATAATTGAAAATAACCGAAATATGATATTTTTTTTTTGATAATCATAAGTATGAAATCACATTATGTTTTAATCTAAGAATTGAATGTAATATGTATTTAAACAAATGTAGTATTATAAGATTTGGATCGAAAGTAAATATGGTACGCCATCCAATATTCGTTTTATCATCATGTATTCGTAACGAGGAAAATAATAAAAATTTATTTGCTCATTAAATGTTTACATATAAAAAGTATGGTACTATACTTTTTACTCTGTAAGTATACTGCTTAGTACTTATCTCCCGAAGATAATTAATATCATAAATGCCGAACGCACAAAGTAGCAGTACAAATTATCCAATACGAACATTACAATTTTTACAATACGACGCATACCATAAGCTTGAACAGATCTATGATTTATAATAATTTAACTTACCCTTCGTTCCTAGTTGTCTAATGTTACTGTTGCAATCGGCCATTTCTTTATTGTGATCGAGTATCGACACAATGATGAATATATAACAGTACGTGATGATCGATACCGGTAAAATAAATCCAAGGCTCAACATGTAAATATAGAACAAACGGTTGGAGTACGTTTTGGTCATGTAATCCCACGAACACGATGTTTCGAACCCTTCCAGGACGTATTTGGACCAGCCGAAAATTGGAGGTAAAGTGATCGATAAGCAGTATATCCATACAAACATGCATACCTTGAAATCAAACAGTAACATTTTATTATACAAGTTTATTATTTGCAGATGATCTTAAACTATATCTTTTTATTAATAATGGCAATGATAGATATCTACTACAAAGTTACATAGACACATTCTCTCTATGGTGCGATAATAATATGCCTAATATAAATATGGATAAATGTTGCCAAATATCTTTTTCTCGATGTAAAAATTCTTTAAAAACAAATTATACAATTAACAAAATCCCTTTAAATATAGTTACATCGATAAAAGATTTAGGTGTAATTTTATCAAATAATCTTTTATTTAACAACCACTTGGATATGATACATAATAAAGCTAAAAAAATGTTAGGGTTTTTAAAATGAAATTGTTAGGTGTTTTCAAATCTACTACCTATGTTTAAAAGTTCTTTACTGTTCTTTAGTTCGCTTTGTATTAGAATATAATAGTATTATTTGAAACCCATCTACTGAATTTTGGAAAAATAAAATTAAAAATATTCAGAAGTATCATTTAAAATTTTTGGAATTTAAAACTATTATACCTACTACTAAAAATAATACTATATCTGGTCTTAATACTCTTGCTAAACGTCGTGAATTTAATGATATTTCACTTATACATAAATTACTTAATAATAATATTAATTTTCCAGAGCTACTTTCCAAAATCAAATTTAATGTACCATCTCATTTTACTAGAATCCAATTTTACTTTCAAATTAGATTACCACCGTCAAAACTATAGTCAAAATGCACCCATCAATCGAATGTTATCTTCCTGTAATTCATTAAATAATTATGATTTCCACATTGATAGTCTTAGTTTATTACTCTCAAAAATGTAATTTTATTAAATTTAAGCTTGTATAATTAATATTCATTTAATGTTTGTTTTTATATTTGATAAATTAGTTGTTTTTTTTTTCTCTCTTTTTTATAGAATTAATATTATTTTTTATATATTGTTACAATTTTATATATAATATTTGTAATTATATTTAAGTATTAAGCTTGTAATTATTATTTGTATACATTCATACTTTTTCTGTACTATTTTGCTCCCCGGGGCATTATTATAATAAATAAATAAATAAATAAATTACTTATACTATAATAAATAATTTGTGTGTGTCAAAGACACTATATTGCTAATTTTCAGTTAATGTATTTTGGAGTATCGCGCGAGCAGCCGTACCTAACGCACGCCTCTTCGTCGATCCGTTAAATACCGCCGAGATCTCGATCATAGATGCTCAAATTTTTCCCAAATTTATATATGTTTATATTATATTATGTAGCATATACATATACATTATACAAATGTAATATATTACTATATTATATTGGTAATTCTTTATAAGTAAATCAAGTTCGTTCGTAAATTTCCAGTGTCTTAATTACCGTACAGCCGTCGCGTTATCGCGAACGCCGCACGGCCGCTGTTATCGCGTACGTCGCGTAGCAGTGCGCGACCTTTGTCTCCGTGACAAACATGCCACAATCGCCGAACGCAAAAACTAAAACTAATAATAAAAATAAAAATATTAATAATAATAATACAAAGAATAAAAACATTATACAGGATGCTCGCCTAAACTTATCGACAAATAATCCCAACGTGAGCTATTCACCCACACAAAATAATTTAAATAGTCCAAACAATGATGGCTGGACACATCAAGCCGAGAAAAGAAACCGCTCAAGTTCCTCAGAACCAAGCTCTCCAACTCAAAATACCAACAGACACAAAAAGCTATTTATTTCTAGAAATCGATTTGATGTTCTATCGCAAATGGAAACAATCGAAGTTGACACAATAACACCAAACCCAGATCCTGATGTAAGCAACCCTGAAGCGCACACCTCACAGGAAAAAAGTACAAATCTACCCCCTCCCATAATAGTAAAAGGAATTAAAGACTTTGTAAGTCTACGCTCGGAACTCATAGACCTTGTGGGTCCTGAAAACTTCATATTTAAGTCAAGCATTAACAACCTCAAAATCCTAACAAAAAACCCAGAAACCTACCGAGCAATCATCCGTTTCTTACAAGGTGCAGAAGCCGAATTCTACACCTATCAAATGCAAGAAGACAAAGCCTATCGCATAGTCATAAGAAATCTTTATCCAACAACGAACACAGCAGAAATTAGAACAGCTTTAGAAGAAATCGGTTTTCAAGTACGCCAAATCACAAATGTCCTACATAAAACAACAAAATTAAATCTTCCAATATTCTTTGTTGATCTCGAACCTTCAGAGTTAAATAAAGACATATTCCACATAAACCACATTCTTCATACTAAGGTAAAAATAGAAGAACCATATAAAAAACGTGACCTAGTACAATGACAGAATTGCCAGGAATACGGTCATACAAAAACGTACTGTGCACATACACCAAGATGCGTTCGGTGTGCTGAACATCACATCACCTCAGAATGTTTAAAGCCTCGAAATCTACCCGCCAAATGCGCGCTATGTCAGGGCGAACACCCTGCAAACTATAAAGGATGCCAAATTCACAAGGAGCTTCAAAAACATTGCAACCCAAACTCAAGAACCATCCAATCAACTTCAATCAACAACCAGTCCAATCCAAAAACCACAGTGAAGACTTCTTCGACTGAATCCAATCCCTCGCCCTCTCAAAATAGAACTTATGCAAATGTAACCTCGAATCAGGAACCTCCAAAATCTAACAACAGTAATCAACCAGACACAGGTACCTTATTATATAAATGTATCAGTGACTTCCAAGCTATCATAAATCCATTGCTCTCCCTTCTTACAACAGTCCTTGCCAAACTTGCAGCCCAAAATGACAAATAATACCCAAACCTCCAAATCATTGCTCATACTCCTTTGGAATGCCAATGGTATTCATAATCATATAGCCGAACTCTCACTTATACTTCATGAAAAACGTATAGATATAATATCTGAAACACACCTCACTAACAGAACAAAAATACACATACCCGACTACACAATACTGAGATCAAACCACCCAGACGGTACCGCACACGGGGGAGCGGCAATAATCATTAGATCTACAATTCTCTTTCATAATGTCTCTCAAATTAGCGAACCCCACATACAATCTTTCACCATACAAATTACACTAGACCATTCTCCTATCTCCATCTCGGCAGCATACTGTCCCCCTAACCAAAAAATTTCCACAATACTATTTGAGCAATTTTTCAACTCTCTTGAAAATTACTTTATTGTTGGTAGCGACCTCAATGCTAAACACACCCAATGGGGATGTCACTCAAACTCACCAAGAGGTAACTCTCTTAGACAAGTTATTACTACCAAAAATTACTTAATCATTTCACCCCAAGACCCCACATATTGGCCAACATTACCCCGAAAGCGACCAGATATCCTTGACATATTCGTCTCTAAAATACCGAACAGATTTAACACCATCATAGATAATCTAACGAATCCTCACTCAGACCATTCGCCAGTACTTCTCACCCTCGACACCTCTCCTCAAAATAGATTAATGAATCCATCATTAATCAATGGAATAATTAACTGGGAAAAATTCCAATCGATACTCACAAATGACATTAACCTGAACGTTAGTTTAAAATCTCCAAATCAACTTGAGGAATCAGTACAATATCTAACATCAACAATAAAAAATGCAGCATGGTCCTCTTGTAAACCAAAAATAATTGATAATTACAATCAAAGTAATCTCTCTTTGCCTACCTATTTAAGATCTCTTATTGTCCAAAAACGTCGTGCCAGAGCAACCTGGCAGAAAACAAAATATTCCACCGACAAAACTAATTATAATCACCTATGCACATTACTCAAACGACAAATGGCGAAACAACGTTGAGAAGACTTTGCCAAACAAACTAGCCTATTAACTGAAAAAGATGGCTCTCTGTGGAAAACCATTAGAAAAATCTTAAAAATCAAAACAATGTCATTTCCAATCAAAAAAATAGACGGCAGTCTTGCTATAAACGATAAATAGAAAGCAGAAGTACACAGACATCACCTCTCCCAAGTCTTTAACTCAAACGATTCCACCATTCCTTCCATGGAAAAAAAAGTACGCAATTTTCTAGATAGCCCACTCCCAATGACACTTCCACCCAAACCATTCACTCCAAATGGGATAAAATCATTCATACAAAAATTTCCACTAGGTAAATCACCTGGTCATGATTTGATAACAGCCGAAATAGCCCGCAGACTTCCAAACAAAGCTATAGTACACATCACTCATATTCTTAACGCAATACTCCGACTTTCATATTTCCCGATTCAATGGAAACTTGCCACAATTATTCTCTTCCCTAAACCAAATAAACCAATTGATAACCCCTCCTCATATAGGCCAATTAGTTTGTTACCTTTCTTTGCAAAACTTTTAGAAAAACTCATACTAAACAGAATCTACCCAATCATCAAAGAAAAGAAACTAATTCCTGACACGCAATTTAGTTTTAGAGAACACCATTCAACCATCCATCAAATGCATCGACTAGCCGATACTATTGCCTATTCTCTGGAAAAGAAACTGTACACTTCTGCAGTATTTCTTGATGTTGCACAGGCCTTCGACAAGGTCTGGCATCCTGGTCTTCTTTATAAACTAAAATCGTTCCTACCCCCATCATACTACCTTTTTTTTAAATCATACCTCAACGATCGTTACTTCTTTGTCAAGACAGGAACCGAATACTCCAGTATATCCCCAATAAAAGCTGGTGTTTCTTAAGGCGCTGTTGTATCTCCAACTCTTTTTAATTTATACTCTGCTGACCAACCCACCAACCCGAACACTCAAATAGCTGAATATGCCGACGACAAAGCAATATATGCCACCCACACCGATTCTGACATGGTCTCAACTACTCTCCAAAGACACCTAAATGATCTATCACACTGGTACTCCCTCTGGCGCGTCAAAATTAATGAAAACAAATCTGTACACACCACCTTTGCTCTTCGCCACAGACAACCTCTTCCTGTACATATAAACGGCAAACCAATACCAAACTCCGACACAGCCAAATATCTAGGTCTAACCTTCGACAAACGCCTAACATGGGCTGAACACATACACACAACAAAACTAAAATTAAATCAACGACTCTACTCCCTCAGACCTATTCTCGGTAAATTCTCAAAACTATCCCTCAAAACTAAAATTCATATATATAATCTTCTTCTTAAGCCTTTCTGGCTCTATGGCATACAGCTCTGGGGCACGGCAAAAAAATCAAATACAAATAAAATACAAGTGTTTCAATCAAAAATTCTCCGACTCATAACCAATGCTCCTCCTTATATTTCAAACCACACACTTCATACAGATCTTCACATTCCTAAAGTCACTGATACAGCCAAGCTATACTACTCAAAATTTAGGAATCGCCTTCAAAATCACTCTAATCCCCATATAAAAAAGCTATTATCCATCTCCATCCCAGGAAATCCCACCAGGAGACTTAAACGACAATGGCCCCGTGACCTTATAAAGATAACCGTATAAACATAATATGAATACGCCTAAATAATTGTAAATTCAAGTCGAAGTATCTTCACTAGACGGTTTTTTCTCTCAAGACATTCAAGCTATTGCACTTAATTAAACATACATTATGCTTATTGTACTTTTTTTTTGTAGTATAGATTGTATAAATTCTAGATTAAAAAAAAAAATGTATTTTGTTTAAAAATTAGCACCCGAATAAATGAAATAGCTGATGATATTAATGAAATTGTTTTAGAAAAAATTAAATATTAAAAATTATTTTCACTACAAATAGACGAAAATACCGGCAGAAATTCTAAAGTTCATTTATTAGGTCTTGGTAGATTTATTGATAGTTCTAAAATTTTTGAGTAATTTCTATTTCGCCATATTTGACCTAATAAATAATTTTTTTAAAAAATCTGCATTATCGTGGAGTTATTGCTATGGTGTGTGCACAGATGGAGATTTGTCTATGATCGAAAAGTATAAAAGTTTTGTTACTCTTGCTAAAATAAAAATCTACCCATGATTATTACACACTGTTTTATTCATCGAGAAGCTCTAGTTGTAAAAATATTAGAAGAAAAGAAGGTTAAGGGTTTTAAATTATGTTATTAAAATTGTGAACTACATTAAATCTCGGGCATTGAAAACAAGGAATTTTGAAACTATGTGTGAAGAAATGGATTCGGGTCATATAGATTTACTTTTACATACAGACGTAAGATGGTTATCACGAGGTCAAGTATTTAATCGAGTTATTGAATTAATGAAAAATTAGAATTATTTTTTGAACAAGAAAATCTTCCAATATTCAAAGATTTTTTTTAGATACAAACTGGTGTGATACTTTAGCATAATTGGCTGATATTTAAAAAAAACTAAATTATCTTAATATGTCAAGGTTAGGTATGTGCAAGGTCATCAGGAAATAATAATTTCATCGACGAATAAAATCAGAGGGTTTAAAAACAAAATTGTATTTTGGAAATCTTCAAGATTTAATGGTGATTTTTCTAATTTTCCAAAATTTTCAAAATGAATGATGGAAAAATCCAATTTTAAAAAACTACAAAAACTTATAATCGAACACCTTATATTACTCGAAGAAAAAATTAAACACTATTTTCCATTGTTGACAACATCTGTAGATTGGGTCTTGTTGCCATTTGATTTCACAGACAACGTGAATGAACTTTATCTTGCTAATAACGAAAAAAATTAATTTATTGATATGTGTTCCAGTTCTACAATCCGAATATTATTCAATAATCAGAAAAATAACATAGATTCCTTTTGGTGAAGATTAGCTTCAGAATATCCGGCTCTTTTTCAAAAAGCGATACTATTGTTATTACCATTTTCCACATTATATCTTTGTAAACAGGCGTTTTCTACTCTGAACAATTTAAAAACTAGTAGTAGAAATCGTTTGAAAAATATCAACCTGATTTGTGTATTGTTATTTCAACTTTTTCACCTCGAATAGAGGATTTATGTAAAAAAAACCAGTCTCAAAAATCACATTAAATATGTATTATTTAATAAATTATATATTAGTATGATATTATGTATGTTCATTATTATTTATTTTTTATTAAAGTGTGCCGATAAAATTGTTAAAATGATCAAGTGTGCCGTTAAGTAATGAAGGTTGGGAATCCCTGGATTAGACATAATACGAAATCCGACTATATTTTTATCATAGTTTTTCGTTCTAACGTTAGCAATACCATGGATTAAAATTACGATTACCTAATGTAGTCTGTGAAATTACGAATCAAAACATTATGATATTAACCGTCTAAAATATGAACTAGGAGAAGGTAAATCGAAACGCATTTGGCTTAAAAATACAATAATGTATTATAGGAACGGTGCGTGGTGTTCGTTTGAAGCGTTCCATGGGTAGGTATACTTACTTTGGTGGCACCATGTCGTGTTAGTTTCCAAGAGCCTGACAACGGTTTCGCAGTGATCACTAGATATCTCTCGACTGCTATTGCTGAAAGAGTCACGATGGACACCAGCCCAAACTGACCCACTCCGAAAGCGTATATCGTACAACCTATTTGTACAAAAAAAAGAAAAAAGAAAAAAGAAAATTAAACGTATTGTATAAAATATGATTTGCATAATTTAACAGAAAAATAGAGTCTCCAGCATCCTTGTCCTCGCATAGGAACTTTGTGTATCCGCCACATCGTCATAGAACCGTATTAACCCAACGCTCCTCCTCCTACCTTCTGCACAATGTTGCGCTACGACTATATTGTCATAAGCTATGCCACTACCACCGCTATATTCTTATCCCAACTCTAGCCATATTCGTCATAACCTATTATTTTCAAATCTAGATTCTAACATCCAATAAGTTATATTTATATAGTACCCAGCCTCATATATCTATCGTTTAGCTTCGCATAAATACTGCGTGTTATGTTGCCTGATTCTACCTCTATATATTAATGATCCATTTTTACGTACTACTGATAAAAAACAATTATACATATATATATACTAGCTGAATTACCCGTCGTTGTCGGGTTTATGTATAAAAATCTATGTACCCTAGAAAGATTAAATTTTGTTTAATCTATTGAAATTTTAATTAATTAAGATAGTTGAAATAATATTTTATACATATTAATTTAGTTTTTAAGATAATAATTACTATCATAACTCATCGGCCCTAGTTTTTGCGGGGCCTCTGGACAAAATCATTTCCCATGTCTTTTTTTTAAAAATAATTACATAATATATATATATATATATATATCTTACAATACACTCACTAAAATATTTTGATATTAATTTCTTATCTATGGATTTCCATGACCTCAATAACATCGGTTCACATCTTATATACCCAAATCACTAAGTACCTACAGTATTAATTATCACTAATGAGTCATTAGTGATTAGCGGTCATTAGTAATGACCGCTATTAACACACTTTATGATATAATTGATAAAGATAACAAAAACACAATAATAAAATCTTTAGATGAAATTAACAAATTATGCTCAAACAATTACTCCGGTATAAACATACTCTTCCTAAATATTAGAAGTATTGAAAACCACTTTCCTGGACTAGAATGCCTTAGCATCGCACTTAATCAAATAAATCATATAATAATTACAGCGGAATCATGGCTTGGAAAACATACCAATCAGAACACCATTTCATTAAATAACTACCAAAATATAATTTCAAATATCAATGTACGTAAATATTATACCTCATAAATATATAAATTACAATGAATTGAAATCGGCTTTAAACAAATCTAATTGGAATAATATAAAAACAATTAACCTTGCTGAAGATAAGATAACGTCACTTTCAACAATTATACAAAACCACATAAATAAATGTACTCACTATGGTAAAAAGAAACAACCAAGACAGTCAATGGATTACACTCGGTATCATCAAATCAATCAAAATAAGGAATAAATTGCATACTCTAACTAGGCACCAACCATTTAACCTTTTGTTAATAAATAAATATAAAACCTATAGAAATAAACTGACAGATATTAAATTTAAGCAAGAAACAAAATTTTTATAGTGATAAAATTAAATGATATAGTAATAATCCCAAAAAAATATATTCGACAATAAAAAAAATAACAACCTAAACCCCCCAAACACATCAACAAAATTATAGCTTAAATACAAATAGCAATATTTACGAATCAAACGATTAACCACTACTAATAGCTAACACGTTTAACGAACATTTTTCAATAATGGGTATCCATAATAATAATATTAAAAATCGGAATAAAAAAATTAGTTTTCCGTCAAACTCAGATCCCAACCAGTCTCTCTATTTAAGAAAAATATCTGCTTCTGAAGTATGTAATATTATTGCTGGTATGAGAAATGATTCAACTCCTGGGAAAGATGAGATATCAATTAACGTAATTAAACAAAACAAAGAAACATTATCCAATATCTTAATACACATTTTTAATCAAATTATCCAAGAAAGTAACATACCAAATTCGTTTAAATGTGCCATTGTAACACCGATACACAAAGGCGGGGACAAAACTTCAATTAATAATTATAGACCTATCAACGTATTAAATATTTTTTCCAACATTTTTGAAAGAGCCATCAAAACTAGACTTCTATCTTACTTAGAAGAAAATGTTATACTACCAAAATCCCAATTTGGATTTAGAGAAAGACTTGGAACCGAAGATGCTTTCACACAGCTATCAATGGATATCTATTCAAATCTAAATAAAAAAAAAACAAAACACTAGGAATCTTAGATCCAAGCAAAGCCTTCGACAGTATCTCCCTTCAAACACTAATTAATATTTTAAAATCCATAGGTATAGTCAATAACTTATTCTTCTACTTGAATCATACTTAACCAATATATTAGAATAGGAAACAACAATATAGGAAACAACAAGTGAGAATATCAAACACACTAATAAACATACATGCACTTAATAAATACATGATTTTTAAAACATAATCTACGAATAAATTATACTAAATCAAATTGCATAGCTTTCACGCAAGACAAAAAAACTCAACCAAACTTTAATGAAATTAAAATTCATGACCCAAATTGTAAAATAAATAATTGTTCATGTAACATCATTAATAAAACAGAACTTACAAAATACTCATGATTAATTATTGACCAACACTTAAAATGGGACACACACATAAGTACCTTAATTATTAAATTACGAAAATTACAACACATTTATATAAATGCAAGAAAATTTCTAAATATACAAACACTACGTTTGATATATTTTTCTATGACACAATCAATCCTTCAATATGATATAACTGCATGAAGTGGATTAGATATCGTTGCTAGCAATAAAATACTGAGAGCTCAAAAAAGTATAATAAAAATAATACTAAACATATCCTACTACACAACTATACAAGGAATTTAATATTTTCACTGTACAAAAATTATTTCAAAGAAATTCCTTTTATTTTATATATAAAATGAATTTAATTAATTTAAAACCGACATACTACAATACATGGCAGAAAAATAACATAGAAATCCCTATTACCCGATCGATTAAATCAAGCCTATATTTTTCACAGGTCTTAAGTTACTGAATAAAGCATCATCGCATATCACCTATAGCAAATCCTATGAACAATACAAAAAAAAAATGTTAAAATTTGGCTAAACCATAGCCCAAGTATCTGAGTCTTAGTGTTTAGTGTATATATATAAAATATATAATGTGAATCTGATTAACTTTAATATATTATAATAGCAACCTATTAATTTATTTTACTTATTTTTTTTTTAATTTTTACTTTTTTTATATTTTGTCTTTTAATATTTCCATTTTTAATTTTTAATGTTTATACTAACTTAATTACTTAGATTTTTTATTAGTACTCCAATTTCACCAATAAGAAGTTTTTCTTCAGTGGTGAGTTGGGCTATTAAACTCAATACTATTTTATTATAACTGTATTGTAACTACATATTATGGCCAATAAATTATTATTATTATTATTAAAACTATATATATATATATTAGGGTGGCCCTTATTTATGAACTTTCAAATTTTTAATTTCTCACCATCCCAATTTTTTCATTACCATACGAAAATTATGTGTGTAAAATTTGGTAATGATTAATAATCCCCTTCAGGTGCCGCAAGAGGGTTGAATATTCACCAAATAGTAGGGTAGTTTTAAAGATATTCTAATTTAATTCATTATATATTGCATTTAGCACGAAATTGTATAGAACATAAACTGTAGATTCAATTGTAGATTCAGGTATTATCTATATAAAACGTTCAGACAAAATTTCTCGTAAATCTATTATTTATTGTGAAAATTAGAATAAAATAAAAATTATTACCTTTTTTTGAAAATAAAATCGAAATTTTCCATATATTCTCTATATGATTGCTTTTACGATAACATACTTACAAATTTTCAAAGATGAAATAAAGTAAAATTGTTTAAAACTAATGTACTAAAGCTAATTTTACAATTATATTTGTGTAAAAACCGTCCGCGAGCCCGCTCGAAGATTAAATTATATCTTATCTATTATTTGTATATTTTTTGTCGAGCTTTTCTTATTCAGTTATTACACACTATCACAATATGAATTATTTATTCATTTTATTCATTATTGAAATAATGAATTAATTCATATTGTGATAGTGTGTAATAACTGAATAAGAAAAGCAGTTGTAAAATCTACAGTTGAAACTAATAAATTTCAAATTATAGACTTCTGTTTACAAAATTAAAAAAAAAAAACAAAGTAGAGATGATTACAAAGAACTTCTAGAGTTGACTGTTATTTTTGCAGGTGAAAACCTACCAAACGGTATATTGTTTCACTATTCTGGTACTTTTCACCATGCCAGGTAGATGTCAAAGGCAATGTATTCATTCAAAATATATATGTTTTGAAAACAATTTAAACTTGATGTTCAAGAAAAAAATGCATTTCGAGATTTATGTATTTTTCTAGTTACAATATACGTAGAAGCATGGTTTAGATGCTCTGCTCCAATCAAAGCACCTTATAATGACTTTATATTTTTAAAAAAATTAATCGAATACCCTGATAATCTATTTCTGAAACAGCTACACATAAATTTTGTGGACACTTATGATATCTTGCGCCCAAAAGTATAGCCTTATCATTTTTTGATTTTCGGGTGCCAAACCGAAATTAAAATTAAAATGGTCGAAACACTTAAATCAATGAACAATTATGATACAATTAAAAAAAATTGTTTTGAGTAAGAGGGTATAAAAACATTTATAAAAAAAGAATTACAGTAGTCACTCGATAATTCGAACCTCGATAATTCGAAAAACTCCATAAATCGAACTAAACGCTAAGTCCCATGAGAAAACTTCTATAATTAGAAAAAAATACATGTATTCCGGTCCCCTCAATAATTCGAAATGTCTGTCGGTGAGGCACACTCTACAATACGAATTTTTTTTTCACGAATCTCTATAATTCGAATTTCACACAATAATATTCCTCATCTTGAAAATATAAAAATTCATTTTTT